TACATGAATATTAATGTGCCGCATGCAAAAATGCAAACACCGTTTGCCACATGGGCAGGGCTAGGACCTTGCATCCAGCGTGACACCAGCCTAAGGGCTTTCAGATCTTCTGGGGATGCTTCCATCCCCAGATGTAATGTAGCCTTACACAGGCAGGGCTTGCACACAAACCCAGTTCCTTTGTAGTACTGCCAGCACCTCGCCCAGCTGAGCTTCTGCGTGGATCCCAAGGGTGGTGGTACCAGAGCCTGTTTGCCAACAGGGTTTTGCCTCGGGGAGCTAGTTCTGCTGGGCAGCCAGGCCGTGCTTTGGTTTGCAGGCAGAACCAGGAGGCTGGTTTTCCCGCTGCAGATGGACCAACCTGCCTCTCTGCTTGGCCTGGGACATCATTTTTTGTATTCCCTTTGGTTTGCTGGCAACTGCTGGGGTTTCCATTTGTGTAGCCCTGGTAGGGGAAGCTGCCTCCAGAGCCTTACTTGTAGGCTGGGAAGTGATTAAAGGAGACCTGTGAATATAGAAGGAGCTATGGGAAGCATAATGTGATTTCCTTTCTGTCCCTATAGTTCATGAGTTTAATGCAGATTTCTAAGACACTGGGCAGTAAGTGTACAATGCATTTTTATTTATCTGTTTTAATCTCTCAGACCATTTTAAATGATGATGGAAGTAAAATAAGAAACCCACACAGCAAATCCTCCAAACAACCGTTAAGTTAGGAGAGCTCGGATCCTTTCATTTCCAGATCTCCTAGGTGCAGTTAATACTTAATGGGAGAAGAAGCAGGTCCCTGGCAATAATTATGCAGTTTTGGATTGAAGCTTATGATCCTAGCAGCAAGGATTCTTACAGTAAGGTGCAAAACAACAAGCCCCATTCTTGTAAAAAAACAACACAAAAAAAAGCCCATGTCTTTTAAACATTTACTGTGTGTGTTTAATACTAAAAGTGATTATAGCACATTGCTCTTCACCTTAATTGTTTGGCAAATGTCACACTGTAAAAGCAAATCCCTTTCTTGCACTTCCAGAATACCGTGACATTCTCGTGCTGCCAAGGAGCCCCTGCAAGATGCTTACGAGGGCCCCTTCCCTGTAGCATGGTTTGTGAGCATTTCATAAACCTTTCTACACCAAAGCATCCGTCGGGGATGAGGAGATTATTTTATTCCCACTTTCTTTCCTGCTGGTGAACCAAAGGACGGAACAAGCCGCAGATCCCTTAAGGTCTTCAGGTGCATAAATCTCCTGTGACCAAGCCCGAAGTTCAGCGCTCCTGACTTCCAGGATGCGTCTGACTAGAGGGTTATGCTGGAAGTTTAATTGCCCTTAAAAATCAATCTTTAGCCACCCGACCACTTTGTTGCTTCCCCTTCCGGCTCTCTGCAGCCCTAAAGCTGGCTCGCCCATCAAACGCAGAGCTGGAGCTCCAGCAACACACGGCCAGATTTCCACAAGCCATCAGTGCCAGTTACTTGAACATCTGGCACCATTTGGATCTAGTGTTTGTTTTGCTTTATTTTGGTTCTTGTTTTTAAAGTAATTGTTCACAGCAAGCACACCATGTTTTCATTAGAGTAGAAGAAAACCAAGTGTCATGAGCTGCTCTTCTTAGCGAGGAGTAAAGCAGAGCAGAGTAATGCCCGCAGCTCGGCATGGCCAGAGCTGTCAGAGCAGAACCAGCAGTGTTGTGATGAACTGGATTGCAGGGCAGGGCCAGGGCCTTCTCCAGGGCTGGCTTGCAGTGATGTGGTAGGTCACCACCAGGAGAGGAAGTTCACGACCTTCAAACTCATTGCATGTGTGAAAGTTACTGCCTGGCTAGCGGTGCTCTTTGCTGTTGTTTGCTGGTTGTCATTTATAGAGGAGAGCAAATAATCAGAGCTAGCACTGTCTCAGGAGATGCCTGATTCCTTGCAAGATCAGGTTCTGAGAACAAGGAAAGGACTTTATATCACATTGACTGTCATCTGCACTCTCCGCTCCACTAACTGGATTTATTGTAAGGCTGCATCAAACAAATGGAGTCATAAGCTGCACCAGCCCCAAGGCGCCTGGATGAATTAAAACATCCAAGACAATGACGAATGCTGCCAAAGGGTGTTGATATTGGGCTGCCAGACCTGTGGTCTCTGGCAAAGCCCAAGAAACAGCCTTGTCACACAGGGACTCCAGAGTTACCACTCTCAGCACTGGGTGGGGACCGAATTCCCTTCTCCTCTGCCTTTGCTATCCAAGTGGCAGCCACGCTCTGCGGTACAGCGTGCTGCCTCTCGCCACGCTGTAGAGAATGAAAAGCTTTACGTCTCAAAATTTAGCTTTCACAGGTCTCACTGCCTCCTTCCCTCCGCTGCTCCAAAACTCAGCAAAACAAAATACAGTTCAGAACACGGCAAAATACGGAGGGACTGATGCAGTTCCTGCTGAAATCAGCCGTGACAGAGAGAGCTCCTTGTTGCTGAAATGCCATGACGTGGGGCACGTGCTTGCACATTGTGGCTGGGCATTGTTATAATACTCTTTGTGTGTGTCCATGCATGTGCACTGTGTGCTGCATGTGCTTATTATGCAGGTGTGTGCACTTCAAGGAGACGAGTATCTGTTAATCTCCAGACAGCAAATATATATACATAGGTCTGTGCACATACGCATATATGTGTGTGTGTACGTGCACTGCTACCGTATGTTTAAACTGGCATCAGGCCAGTCCCATGCGTCTTCATAAAGTCTGTATCCCTGCGTGTGTACCTGAAAAGCCAGCCTGCTCTCCAACAGCAGGAGGCAGCTCCAGATGTAAGCTGTACTGGAGACCTTTGATTTATAAGACCTTCTCTCTTGGTGGCTCTTTGCGTAGGATTTCCGTGCGAGGCGAAATCTGAAATTGGTGATGGATTGTTATCTGCCAGGCTGCAAGGAGAGAGCGCCACATGTAGCCCCGTCGGGTACAAGCTCCTTGTGCAGCGCCGTTTTATTTGACAGGTGGCAGCCATCCGAGGGGAGACTTTAATTTGAGAGTCTGTACTTAATAGTAGTGGTCCAGAGCCCTGCCATGTCCTTTCCATTGACCCCTTTTGTTTCTTTCTTAAAAAAAAAAAATGATGGGGAAGGGAGGCCAAGAGTGGGCTCCCAGTCTGAGGAGGGAGCAGGGCTCACGCATGGGCCCCGTTACGTGGAGAATTTCTCAGTGGGCAGGGCATCAGCTCCTACCCAGACGAAGTGCCATCCATTGCACCTATGTCAGCTCTTCTGAACTGGTCGTGCACCCACGGCCACGGGGCGCTGCACGCTCATACACAGCCCCGTTCACACCTGGTGTGCATCTTCCCCATCCCCAGCCTCCTGTTTGCCTTTCTCTGGTTACAAAGAAATCACTAAGGGAGAGATACATTTCTTACCAGCATCATGCTGACCCCCTTTCTCCTCCCCCCAAGCCTTGAAATTAATTAAATGATGTCACGCTTGATTTTATCTGATTTGGAAGCAATTCATCACCCTTTTGCTGGTTCTATTAGTCCAGGCGATCAGCACATTAATTCATTTGTGAGACTAAGCTCAAGGGTAATTACAGTGAGGAAGCTTAATGCCTAAACGTGTTAATGTCTGTAATCAGAACTATTTTCTCAGTGCGGAACAATTGTTAGACAATTACACTTGGATATGATTGCCCTGGTAGGCAACAGACGCTGTGTCAAGAGGGGAATAGCAGAAGCTTGTTTTGCAAGTACTGTGTTATCAGCAAATTCGTCTCTTTGCAATCTCTCTCCGCCTGGATTCTGCGCAGCTCGCCCCTCTCTCAGGTTTCGCATTAGTAATTAAGTTGAAAAGTCAGCTCTGCCTCTTTTTCAGACTGGGTAGTGTGGGGCACAGAGGAAAATAGACACCTTTGCTTTTTTGTAACATAAATGTCACAGGCTTTGGCTTCTGGTGTCCTTGTTTATGTCCGCAGAGAGAAAGCATGGCTTTCATAGGCTGCCCTTTGCCTCCCGGTAGGCCTGATGTGCCTTTTTTTTTTTTTTTTTTATCCAGCAAAAAATGCTTTCCAGTCAAAAGAAGTCTAGGTCTGGATGAACTTTGGGGTTGAGATTCTCCCTCTCCTGTCCCTCTCCAGACCCTTACAGAGGGCTCTTTGTTGACTTCATGGTGGGGAAGCATCCTGCCAGGGTGATCCTGAACCTGCCTTAAAAGAAAGGTGATTGAGGGACCCGTATGGGCACAGTGGGACCACACAAGCATAGCAAGGGGGCACAAAGTCTCTGTTAGGTTGGTTTTCTCTGCTCTCCCCTCCTCTGCCTGAGCTGTCGGTGAATTTGTCTGACCGGAAAGCTTCTAGTTTTGTGTCAGGCTTCCTAAACATGTAGCTCTGTGCTGCACAGCAGGCATGTATGCTATCCATACGTACGTGTGACATGTGCAGGGCAGTGATGGGGCCATGGCTTGGGGAGAGGCTCAGCAGTGTGGCCGTGAGCACGCAGTGCACACAGCATGGATCCGGGGAAGGTGGGGGGGTCCCCAGCCAGCTCAAGGTAATTCAGCTTCGTGGGACTGCTGATCCCCCCCCCCCCCCCCCTTTATCCCCTCCTCAGGCTGGTGTGTGCAGGCAGGTTTCGTTCAGCCTCTCTGCTCCTGGTGTGTTCCCCTCTCACAGTGAGGATGAATGTGCTGCAGCTGGGTGGTGCGGCCAGGCAGCAGGACGCCAGGGTCCCCACAAAGCCATTCCTCTTCCTCCCCGGGTGCCCACGGTGACCTCCGCTGTCACCAAGCGAGTCCGAGCACTTGTGCTCTGCTGCTGGGGAGAGATTGTATTCCAGCTCACCCTGGAGGTCCTTCAATGCGCCGGGCACTGTACCTTGCAGAAATTCTCATTTGGGGTAATGTCCCATACACCGCTGGCCTTGAAAAATGCATTTCTTGGTGTTTGAAGAAAAGCCTCCAGCGGTGCTGTGGAACAGCAGCGTCCTCAGAGGCCCCTGGGAGGAAACGAGTTGGCCATGGTGTGTTTTGCAGATACGGCGAAGCTGTGCCAGTGACAACCACAAGAAGAGCTCTCTGATCGGATGGTTTCAGGGGCTGTCTACGTCCAGAGGAAGGTAAGAATAAATGTAAAGTGCCTGTTGCCATTAGAGATGAAGAACAAATGTTTGAGAGAAATCCTCGCTGGTCTCCAGCAGGAGAGGGGCTGTGGCTGTGACCTTCTCCTGTCTCCATGTCCAAATTATCAGGCCTGGAATTAGCACCTCCACCCTTTTCCAAAGCCTGGGATCTAACAAAACCATTCTGGGGTGCTCCAGAGAGGTCTGAGTCCTCTCCCAGCAGCACAAGAGCAGGATGGGCAAGATGGCACGGCCCAGCCCGTTGCAGACCGAGCCCTTTCCCTGCCACTGACTTGCTTCAGTGTCCTGCCTTGCCTTCCTCATCTGCGCTTGTCCCTCCTCCAGTCTTTGGGCTGTTTCACTTAGGAGCTTCCCAGGAAACACAAGCAGCGTGCTGAAGGTCTCCGGGTGGGAAACCAGCCTGGAGGGGGCGAGGGGGCACAGCTTCGCTGGTGCAGCATCCTGGGGACGGTGGCGGCTCAGCTCAGTTGCTGTCTGTCACCCCAGTGCAGCCTTCTGGGGCTGGCTGCAGGTTTGTCAAGGAGCGTGGCACAGCAGGCATGATTTGTCAAAATGGTCTGAAAACTGACAACGTATCTGTGGCATTGAGTGAGTTTGTAAAAAAGTAACAGCCAGGGTAATCTGACATCTGTTCTCAGCCAGCTATCGTGGCTGACAATAGGGAACGTAAGCACAATAGCATGGCATGTGAAGAGGTCTGAATTTCGCATTGTTTCTTCTCCTTTGTGCTGGAATAACTTCTTAGCAGTGTAGAAAACCTATTTCTCACCCTTTCACATTCTCCTGGCAGATCTTTGAATATTAATGCTGTCTCTGGCATCCGTGAGTCAAAGCACTCTGCGCTGGGCTGATGAGGGTTGTAGGGCACAAGCGACATCCCCGTCTCCTGCACGGGTGACGAGCAAAGCCCCCGGGCTGCGGTGGCACCTGGTGCTGCGGTACAGGGTGGCACTCAGTCGGCAGGACCCGGCCTGGCCATCGGGAGGTCGGGATTTATCAAGCAGCTCTGGCACTGGCTTCCCTTTTGTCCGCGCTCTGCTGGTGACCTCAAAAGAGGGGCAGTGTTCAGAGGGGCGCTGAAGCTCGGGATGGCTGAGCCCATTGTACCATCCAAGGCCTTTGACTTCCTCTGCTATACCAAATGGCGAACAGGAACAAGAGACGTAGCGCCATCATCGTGTTAGGGACCCTAATCCTCAAAATCAGTCCCAAGTTACTGTAGGTACCATTTAAAACTACAATATTCAAACAATAGCTTCTAAAATATTCACCTCCTCCTCCTCCTCTTTTTGTCCTTATTAAAAGCTATAGAATATTTCTAATGTGACAGGAAACATCCTCCATTGTTTCGCCACTATATTTGACTGAAGTGAAGCTGCTTGCTGCACAGACGTACCCACCTCTGAATGTTTTGCTATTCTGGGCCTTGTACAGGTTGGAGCCTAACTTATTTTAACCATTGCAGTTTCGGCTGCCTTGTAGAGTTCTTCCAGGCCATTAAAGCTTGATGCGGTTTTACCCTCTCAGCTAACAGAGACCCCATACAATACATGGATTCTGTTGAAGTACAAAACGCAATCATTGTAGGCAATTAGGAGATAAACTTCCTCCTCTCTTCTGTGTTTGGCAGTCAGATGCTTTGAGATCCTTGCTGCCCACCAGGACATACTCTCTGCCACCCTTTTAGCCAGAGGTCATGGACAACAGATGTGGTAAGGAAATAAAAATTGAAAGCTCCAGATTTGCAGCACTCGAAGTGAAGCCTTGAGCCCTGCTGTGCCTGGCGAGGCTCATCCCATGGCCCCATCCCTGGGCATGGCTCATGCCCCAGGGCTGAAATGAAAATCCTTGCTCCCATGCCTTTCTATGATGCAGGAACAGTGATGTTGCTGAAACTGAATTGTTCTTGCTGCTCACACGACTGCAAGTGCTGTAGGACCTCACCAGTTTCAATACTGAAACACTGTTGGGCTAAAAGCTAATCTGCTGAGTCCCCGGGGCTGTGGATGGAGGAGTGAGATGAAAGACAGCTCCAACTGTGCAGTGGCAGACCTTGGCATTCCTGAGCCACTCCCAGCTAAAATGATCCTCACCTCCATCTCTCCCAGCTCACCAGCGTGCAGTATTTCACCCACCAAAGGTTCATCCAGCCAACCACGCACCGTTCGGCATGGCATACTGATATATCTGCCTGGGCCCTGTTCCTGAAGTCACCGAGCACCTGTAGGTGTGTTGCTGAGGGCAAGCAGGGGCTGCCTTGTAGCCCTCCTGATTTCCCGAAGGACCTGGGGGCAGTTTAAGCCATAGTAAATCTGCATTCAATCAGCACTGGAAAATCCCCCAGTCGTTACTCCTGCCTTCCATGCACGATCCTTTTCTCCCTTGCAGTTACAAATACGTTCAATCAAAACGAGCGTGTTTTACTCCTCTTTGTAAACAATGCAAATGCAACGCAAACATTTCACTGTCTGCTGCTCAGTATTTCTGCATAATCTGGCAATCCTGCACAGAGCAGATAAAATGGTAGGGAAGGAAAGTTCTTAGCTCATTTCTCTTTTCTGGCAAAGGCATTCTGTCTAATGGCAGGCCACTCAATCTGCCTGCCCCAGATATGCAAACATCTCATGTCTAAGTCTTGCTGTAGTGTCACCTCTGTTGGGGCCCTGGGAGGTGTCGTAGCCCCCGGTTCCTGCCCAACTCCCTGTTCCTGGTTGGAAGCCATCACCACCCCATCAAACACCAGTTTTAGCAAATCAGCAAATTCAGACAGGAAAGTCTTGAACATTTACCCCTTTCCTGCTGCTGTAGGAAATTCTGTATTTCCTATAGAATCATAGCAGGCTTGTCTCTACTCAGCCTTAAACCACATTCAGCACGCAGTCCTTACGTTCATTTTCCTTGGTTTGACAGGACTCTGGGGTGCCACAACTCTTGTTTGAAACTTAAAGCAGCGATGTGGCATTCAGTGCAGCTAAGGATGGGCAGCCCGACCCTGCCAACTGCTGTGTTAAAAAGTAATGGAGGAAGGAGAACAAACACCTGCAGAAGCTGTTCCACATGTAGTAGAGGAGGCACAGCGCGCATAAAAGTAATATGGTAAGCTGCCCTGCAAGTCACCCGTTAAGTGCCATAAAGATGGGCCAGTCTGCGTGTTCCCCAGCTCCTGCAGTAGCGTGGGCCACCAGTTTGCACTGGGAGGTATCCAGCTCCCTCCTGCTGCAGACGGCTCATGGCACAGCACCAAGCCCAGAGACCGGTGTGGCGTGCCCCGGGCAGGCTGTGCTTTCCTGGCCAGGTCTCTCTATACCCAGTGCTGCTCCACGCTCCTCAGAGCCTGCTCAGGACTGCTCACTGCTCACCAAAGCAGTATTGGAGCAGATCAGCTGAAAGAGATCAGCTGGCTCTTCACGCGGTACAGCTGTTTCTTTATCCCTCCTGTCCTCCCCTGGTTCTGTCCCCTCCCCAGTCCCTGTCCCTGCCTTGCCAGGAGCACACTTTGGTAGAAAGGTCTGAAAAATCAGGGCCATTTCTATTCTGTGGGACCAAAGGGTTTCCTTTGTTATAATTCCTCTGCTCAGCTCTGTGCAAGGCCCTCACATGGGGCACTGCGACACACGCCCTGTATAATGGAGACAAAAGCAGATTACTGTGGGGATGCCTGAAAAGAAACCGTGACTTGTTCCCTTGTTGCTACAATCTTGTTTACTTGCTGTGCTTTGCAGGAAGCAATTCATACAGGTTTCTTTTGCATAACAATAGTAAAGGCTTTTCGTGGTGAAAAAAAAACAAACCACAAACAAAATAGGGAAAAAACAGGTGAGAATTTATCACAGAGACGAACACAGCCTTGCCTGGAACAGTTTATGCCGTTCATGCCATTTATGCCAAATGAAATGATCAGTTTCTGCTTCCTTAATGTTGTCTCCTGGTGTCATGGCCCTGATTGATGCAGTGTGACGGAGGGCTTGAGGGGAAGGGCTGGAGGCTCAAAGGCAGTGTTAAACTCATTTCTCTGCTGGCCCATGGCAGGAGAGAGCAGGGAGAGAGGACAGCAGCTGGGCTTTGCTAAGGCTGGACTGCTGCATGTCTTGGCTTGGTGTTGGTGGTTTGGGTTTATTTTTTTGGCAAATACTTGGAAGAAAGTAGGCCCTGGGTTAAAGGTCAGATTTAACATGCTCTTGGTGTCTCTTGTGTTTCTGTAGCCTCACCTTGCTGCCTCCATCTCAGCCTGGCCATTTTCTGCACTGAAACGAGGCTTTTGCAGTTGTGTTGAGTGTTCATCAGCTGTTCCCCCCGGAGAGGTGAGCACACACAGGAGGTTGGTGGCACAGAGTGGGCATCCCTTCTGGAGGTGCTCCCTGAAACGAGGACCTCAGCAGGTGCTCAGTCAGCTGGGGTTAAACCCAGCTGTGCCCTGCTCTGGCCCATGCTGTCGCTTTTGCAAAAGTAAGGGGAAGGCAGGTTTGAGTGGACAGTTGCAGATAACATGGAAAAAGGGTTTTAAGTCTTGCCATGTGATCATTTTTAAATAGAGACACACAAAGACTCAGGTTGGCTCCCTGAGCTGGGCTAAGTGCATCAGAGGCTGCACCCGGCTGCCTGTTTTTGGCAGCATCCCCTCTGGGCAGATGCACAGTCCCCCTGTGGTCCCGGGGCTCTTCCAGGGGCACATCATTGCTCTCAGGGGCATTCAAGGCTCTGCCCATGCAATTCGGTTTAATCTTATCATGCTGTAACCCCCTTCTCCCGCTTTGTTCCTCTAGCTGCTGTTTCTCTGGTTGCTGGGACAAGTTGAGGCTGTCCCCATGCCAGTCTGGGTGTTACATAGTGGCCCCTGGCCTGGTGGCTGAGCTGGGGGCTGGGGGTCAGGTTTGGAAACAGCACTCACCAGGTGAGCACCAGAGATCAGTAAGGAGCAAAGGCCAGAGCTGTTTGGTTTGATGTTTTTGGCTCAATTCTGAAAAACCTTCAAAATCAGTTTTGCCCAAGGAAGGAGCAGGCTGAGAACAACAGATCCTGCCTTGGGGCTGGAGGGAAGGGGCAGGGACGTGGTCACCATGCCCCTGCAGCGTCCCCAGGAGCCTGCCTGGGACATGGGGTCAGAGGGAGCTAAAACGACCCCACACCCACAGCCCCTCCGTATCACCAAATCTTCAAGAGGCTCCATCAAACATCTTGAGTTAGTCCAAAATGCTCCTGGCATTCCAGCTGGCAAACATTCGGTGATGCTGTTGCAAAAATGACTCAGGAGGACACGTTTCCAGCTCAGCCTTCCTGGGCTGAGAGGCATGGGCAATACAGAGCGCTCCGGCCACAACCTTTAAGGTAAGACCTCAGCTACACCCTCTCGCCCTCTCACAGCACTGGTCTCAGCTAGCTCCTACATTGAGTCTTTTTTTTTTTTCTTTTTTTTCCCCTGGGATCCCCACAGAAGCTGCTCCTGGGCTCTTTTTCTACTCAGTTTATTTGTTTTAACGTGTTGTCCCCAGATAGCCTTGTCTTTCCAGTCAGGTTTGTCTTTCGCAGCTGCTCCCTGGGCCTCATTGGACTTTAACTAAACCAAACTTACAAACAAACAAAAAATAACAGCAACAAAAACAACAACCAAGCAAAAACAAACAAACCAAAGGCCACCAACCACCAAGGCGTTGTAGCCTCTCGGTTAAATACAAACATATGTGGGAGGCTCAGGCCTTGACACTCCTGGGCCCCACAAGGCGCCCATGCTCCCCATCCCAGGTCCAACTCTGGGTAGCACCCCCAGCCTTCGCTGAACGCTGAAGTTGCTGGCATTTGAGGCTGGTTAAAAGCTGAAGAGCTGAGGCATTTCCAGGGAGTGAGTGCTTTGCACAGCCTGACTCTGCCTGTGTGATAGGCACTTTGTAATCCTGGCAGAGGAATTTAGTTGAGAGAGCATTATGGGCAGATTAAAGTAGCCAAGGCGCAGTTCATTTGCTGCCCTCTGCTCTTCTGGTTTGACTTTTTCTAGCGTCAGGCAGCAACGTACAAAATATTTCCTGGGCCACTCAGAGATCTACACAAGATGTATTCAGCCCCGTGACTTAGCAGTAGCTGCCGTGACTTCAGTGCTGCTGTTTATTTTTCAAAAAAAAATCTTCTGATGGTTTTTTACTTGGTACAATCTTCTGTACATGAGGGGTGTTTTGTTTGTTTTAAATGGGATATTCAGCGACTTCTTTGCAGCTTTCCAGTTGTATATTTCGTAAACTGAGTGCAAGCTTTAAAGAGCTTTGTCTGACTTCTGGGGCTGCTCCATGGCTACTGAAATGTTGACCCAGCCTCTCCTGCCTGCGTGGTCCTAGACTTTACCAGCGGTGGTACAGGGCCTGCAGCTGCTGCTCGCTTTGCTCTTGGCGAGCCCAAAGATCGGCAGCGCACTGCCCGCCTGCGCTCAGCACCCAGGGGTGCAGCTGGGCCCTGCTGGGACAAAATGCTGCTGCTACACAAAGCAGCCAGGGCTGCTGCTGCAAGCCCCAGCCACCCGCTGGGCAGAGCTCCAAAGCCTGCTGCTGCTGTGGTTGTGGTGGGTCATCCAGCCCTGCAGATAGTTTTTTTTCTTTTCTTTTACAGCACGATCAACCTTTATTCTGAAATGAGTCTTCATGTCTGAATAATTTCATATGCACTTGCCCATCTGTTTCATGAAAGACACAGATAACCTCGTGCAGCATGAAACTGCCTGCAAAAGCTAAATTGTGCTTTTCAGCAGCAGCTTAAACACCTGAATTTAATAGCCTTTGCAGGGCTTGTCTGAATGAGTGGCAGAGGGCTTTAAATTAATATTGTTTCACAGGAAAATAGCTGGTTGATTAATCCTTTTTTTCTTTTTTTTTTTTGAGGGGGGGGGGGGAAGGGGGCAGGTAAATCAAATCCACCTGGGGACAGTGAATTGGGGTGGGGAGGGTGTATTTAATAGCATGCTTCTCTTGTCCATCTCGTGTCTGGAATTTATTTGTTCTGAAGCATCGCTAAAGTTTTACAGCAATGATATCAGGAGTTTTTAGTGCCATATCTCAGACTTCGCATCAGACACCATTTCCTCCGCGCCGTATTAGCTCAGCCGCAGTCTGTGTCGGTGCACGTCCTGGTGTGCAGAAAGGACTCGGTACTCCTGCTGCAGCCAGGCATTGGTGCTGGGGCCCCGCTGGGTGCCAGGAGGGTCCACCCTGTCTCCAGAGCCCCCCCAGGAAGGCAGGGGCCTGTGGCAGCACACCTGTCTGCTGGGGAGCCAGACTTCATCTGTCCCTGCGGAAAATGCGGGTCATAATCCCTCATAATTCGTGGAGCATGCGTGCTTAATAACATAAAACTGGCAGCTTTGCAGCAAGCAGCGCTGGTACTAAGAGCTGTGTTCCTGATGCTCTCCAGCTGAAGCCTTCGTCTGCCTTTGTGACCATTCAGAGGGGCTCCACGTGCACACCCGGCACAGCAAAGAGAATTGTACGTGGCTGTGAAATGACCTTTCTAGACTACTGGGTATAAAATGTTGAGGTCATTCCTGAAACAAATAGTTGCAATCCAGGGAGACTGGAGTATTTTAAAATGCGCCTCAAAGAGCCAAATGACCTTTACTGTTTTGCACTAAATTTAAAATGCTCTCTGGAGTCCCGGTAATGCGGTTAGCCAAAGAGGCAGATCCAGGGCAGTGAGAGCGTTTTGATGTGGGGTGCGTGCCAGAACCCGAGGGATTAACCCTGGCACTTGCAGCAGGCAAGGTGCTGGGAACAGGCCGTGGGACCCTACGGGGTGGGCGCTTGGCTGGGGGTGTGCCTCAGGTCGGCCCCTTGTGTTGGGGTTTTCTGTTTTAGTAAACTGCACCCTCGACCCCAGCGAAGCTGTACACCAACCTGACTCCGGCTGGGGCTGCCCTGGGGTTGAGGAGGACCCCATGCAGGTGAGCTGGCACGCACGGCAGCAGGACTGAGACCATTCACAGGCTTTGTGCACATCCCACGATGGTCACAGCACAGAGCCCTCTGACATAACAAGGGGGTGATGGTGTTCCGGACGCCGAGCAGCAGGGAAGAAGGGGGTTGCTGCTGGAGATGGTCCCTGCCTGCAGCTGTGGAGGCTGCCCTGAAGCTTGCTGGCCTTCACCTGGCTCCAGGCCATCCCGTGTGCGGGTGCCTTTCCATTTTGCCAGGGGTAGCCCCGAGCTCCCAGAAGCCCCCCAGGCAGTGCCGCCTGCAGGTAAGGACGGGGCTGCCCCAGCCCAGGTGCCCTGCACAAGGTTTCAGCACGTGAGGCCAGGACGGGCACGGGAGTCATGTTGCTGGAAATGTTCGATCCCTGGGAAGAAATTCCACACGGACACAGAGGCGTTTTGTTTCATATTTTATTGAATTTCATTTATATTAAATTAAAAATATATTTCTGACAGATTCATGTAACAAAAAGGCAGAACAGTTTTCAAATTGTTCAGCTGGGATGAGCGTGGGTTGATGCAAGGTGGGTCGCAGTCTACATTTGCCTTAACAAACAGATAAAGCTCTACCCCAAGGACCATGAGGAGAAACTCGGGACTGCACACAGGGGGGAAAAGTATAACCACACAAAAGAGAAGATCCACAGGCTTCTCCCCAGCCTCCAAACAAGACAAAAGGGGAGGGAAGGGGAAAAAAAAGAAAAAACAAGAAACCATGAAAAGAAGGGAAATTATGCTAAAATATGTACCTAATATTAACCCAGGTCAGTAAGTATTTTAACAGTGCGTAATCCTCAATAGCTAAAATATGAGAAACAAAAGGTTAAAGTAACATTACGCCACACACAATTGGCATACCCTACTGTGTAAGCAAGTGCAGAAAGTCTGAACACACCACAATAGTGCTAAAACACAGAATCACACAGAATGCCAAAAATGGTATTTCTAATCAAAACCAGAGGGTGGGAAGGGAAAGAAAGAAAAGGGGAGGAGCGGCATAAATCACAAGCAAATTACCTATATACAAATCAACCCTAAGGACAATTATGTTCCAAATAATGGTGTCCACAAGGAAAATAAAAGCAACATTATCCTTATTTACAAATGCAACTAGCTGTGTCTTTAACAAGCTATAAAAATACTATTCACATTTTCAAAGTAACATACAGTAGTTTTTGTATTTTTGTTTCAGAAAGGCAGCTAACTCTGAATGCATCACTCTGCACGAAATGAGTGTCTTCCCCAACATGCTGATGCTTCTCTTCTTCCAAAGGTACTTCATAAGGCAGAAGTAGTTAGTGTGTAACACCTCTGTGCACTATAAACACATGGAGAATTGCCTAAAAACCCTCCTCACTCCTGCCTCGCCTACCTGCTGGCAGGCAGCTGTGCTGGTCTGGGAGGTGCTGCGAGGGGCGCCCACCTCGCAGGAACTCTGTGCTCTTCCTGCTTCGCCTCCCAGACCGGGCCCAGCCTTGGATTTTGAGGGGGCAGCAATGTCGTCCTCCAGGCTTGGGAATTTGAGCCTCACCATGAGGAATACGTAGTTTGAGACTGCAAGGTAAAGAAATCTATTTTGGATAGGTTGTTTTGGATAGTCTGCTCTTAGAAACAGACTTCTTTTTCCCCTCAGTTTCCCCTCCATACACTAGGGCTGCTACCTCTTTAGAAATTCCTATTTAGGATGTTGGGGAAATTTCAAAAACTGGGCCAAAACAAAATAGGTGAAAACCACTGTGGATAATGTACAGAATGTGCACCAATTTCCAACACGAAATGCTATTAAATAACTGTGATTTTTCTTCGATCTGCATTTTCTCCTCAACATACCCCACCATGAAGACACGTACCCAGCAAATACCTTCAGTCCCTGTCTCCAAAGGAACATTGGTTGTAGTGCATTCAAAGTTAGCTACCCCTTACACAGCTGCTCAGTTAATAATCGACCCATTTAACAACAGTACCAGTTTATGCTACATATGTCATAGTACCTTACCTCAAAAGAACGGCATACATATCTACACTTACTTATAAAATACCATTCACAGTTTCTTACTGTGGTTATCCCAAAAGGGTTAGTCTTCGGAGTGCTATGGACAATACAGTGCTTTTATCCCTAAGAGGGCTCAAAGCCTGGGCAGGGCGTGGGGACAGTGGCGCTGCGGTGGCAGCGGAAGCTGGATGTACGCATGTGCCCTGGTTGCAGCAACCGCCCTGAGCTGTCAGCAAGAGGGTGCTGTGCAAGGTGCACCTCTGCCCTGGTGGCTTCGTGCACGATGCGCTTGGAGCACAACTTCATGGCTTTTTTTTTTTTTTCTTTACTGGGGAGGGGAAAGAACTGGGACGTAACTACTCACATGGTGTAATACCTTACAAGCCTCTCTTTAAAACCCTTCTCTACCAAGGTCCAAAGGGCTCTCTCAAAATAAAGGAGAAAAAAAACATAGCACTGACTGCTCTCACTTCCTCATTGGGGAAGCAACCTTAGCTGCTGCTCTCACACCTCCTCCTTCTTTCTCAGCACAGCCCCTAACTGGAGGATGCCTCGGGTGGGACCGCTTCTTCAGCCTGGTGCTGGTCACAAGAAGAACCTGCCTGCAGTTCAGGTAAGTCCCACCGTGTCCCAGCATCACCAGTTGGGCTTTAACACCTGCCAGCTTCCCCAGAAGATGCTCTGCATTGCCCAGACCTACACACTGATCCCAGCTGACGCCACAGGGCAATGCAGACAGCCTTACCTTCAGTCCTGTCCCCAAGAGCAGTGAGCCTACTAGCATCATCAGGTCCTAATGCACAGAATGGTAGGAGCATGACCTTGTGCTAAAATAAAATGAGGGTGGACACAAATCATTTTTGCACATTTCAAAGTGGTGCTTCTAACTATGGGACTTCGTTATTTATTCCTGGTTTGTAACGGTGGCCATTTCTACTCGCATACCACTTAGCAAAAGAGAAAAAATGAAGTGGGGGCATGCTCCAAGCAGCCAAGCTGCAGAGGCTGCCCTGGTGGATGACTGTGCTTCCCGTCCCGTGAGGAAGCGTGAACCCTGCAGCCCCCCAAGCCCTGCCCATGCACAGCCCTGGCTTTCTGAAGTCACATCCGAACCCAAATCCAGGATGTGTAACAGACGAGCTGTTTTGTCAGCAGCAGAGGTTTACAATCCAGGGTAATGGGAACATTACAACTGACAGATCTAGAAATGAACAGTCTTTTTATGTTATTGCATGTAAAAACATCTTGTAGAAAATACAGAAGAACTCCGGGTGATGCTGTCTCCTTTAAGGTGGTCTTTAAGAGCCAAAGAGGTTACCAATAACCTGAGGCCTGACTCCGGTTCTTGCTAAAACCTATTTTGTACCAGTCCCCCTCATGCTAAAGAGCCTTCGAAGCAGAACACCTACTTGAGCTTCCAAAATTTGAAATCTGATTGGGTGGAAAACCTGATTCCCCACTTGTGCAGAACAAGGGAGAATAGAGCCCAGCGGGAGAGCGGCGCGCCCCTTCCCGCTGAAGCAGATGCTCCAGCTGCTGGTCCTTGGGGCAGTGACATTAATTCCCACTCCCTGCCACCAAAAGGGTGGACAGACAGACGTGTGTGCCACAGTGCCTGTTGGTTTCTGGAGAGATTCCTGCCCGGGGTGCACAGGGCTCCTCGAGGCAGCCAGGCTTTGTTACCTTGGGATTTGCAGGACCAGGAGAACCCAGCACTGCCTTGTACCAAAGCCTCATCTCCTTCACAGCCCAACAGAGCCCACGTAGGCCCTTCGTTTGCACCACCACCGTAACACAGGACACCGCACCTCCACAGACACCCCATCAGAAAAACAATATCAGATTTTTTGTTAACACCTGAGTTTCCCATGTAGGCCTAGCCTCAAAAAAAAAAAAAGGACAAAAAACAATCAAGAACATATGCACCAAAAAACCCACCCCCCAAGCTTTATTTCCAGGCCCATGTCACAGCTGGCACTCCCCACCTGGACTGCCCGGCTCCAGCAGGTTTTGGAGCAGTCGGGGCCACGCTGGTCTTTCAGAACTGCCGTTTTCCTTGTGTTGAGGCTGGGCCTAGTGGTGGCGGAGGGCAGAGGAATGCTCCTGTGTAATTCCAACCCAAATCTCGATTGGAAACAAGCCTGCATGTGTGCAGACTGCCTGGCCCCCGCAGCACGTAAACACAACTGCCCCTCGCACCCAGTTTCTGGGCTTATCAGAAGTTGCCCTTTGGACAGGAAGGGAACACCTCTCCTCATTAACCCAGAGAAACACAAGAAATGAGATCACTGCATACAACTCCCACAGCCAAGAATACATTTTCTACTAAGTGGTAAAAAAACAGGGTCTACACAACCTTTTTTTTCTGTAGAAAGATCTCTGGGCTGAGCTTAAGGTACCTGACACAGATCCATGTGGTAGCTCCTACCGCTGATACACACTCAGATTTATTTCCATTGCTTGCTACCTGGGAGGGATGACCTGTTTGAAAACAAGTTGTAAATACTCTGCTACATCTGAGCAAATGGCCATGTAAGCACATCTCCGTAGCTATTGTACAGAAAAATTTGAAAAAGAACTGAAAAAGGAAGTTAGGAGAAGTTGATTTCAGTCAATTACGTTACAGCAAATCAATCCAGCTTCCACATCTGTTTGAAATAGCCCTCAGCTAGGCAGGTAACATCTAAGACAAGTATCACTGCAAGAGATTAGGTAAAAGAAGCTGTTGTTCTCCTTCATTTAGCACGTGTGCTTTGTGCCTTGGACAAAGGCTGATACACATGCAGGTATCTGCTCTTGAAAAGTTATTCACTGCTCTTCCATCGTACGTGCTATGATAAGCGAAAGGAAAACATTTATAAATAGGTGTCTGCATTATAAAATCCATAAAAACTGACAGTGGTGTGTATAGATACCATTATAGAACCAGAGAATTTATCAGAGCTGGAGAAAATAATTCTGCCCATGCTCTCACCTACTGCTTTGTGCTGACAAAATGCAGTTTGTGGCTGAAAATACCCCGTTTCTTCCCACAAACCTGTGAATATTCCTTACAAAGCCTGAACTTCATCTTTCACAATGTAATAGTTGAATATTTGCCCTGTTTTTTCATGTATATTTGTCTGAGTTCCTTGCTCCAAAATAGCAGCTATAACCACTAATGCAAACACACGAGTTACGGCCAGGCGGGTATTTTTGCTGATTAGATTAAAAAAGACAGTTTTGCTCTTAGTTTAGCTGTTTCTCCTTTAACCATGGTTCAACGCAATTTTTGGCAAAAGGACAAAAACCTACCAGTTCTGAGAAATTCCTGTTTCAATGGACAGGCATATGCTTAGGGGCTGTGTTATTCTTAGTGGGAGGAAGAAAATGGTTAACCAGGTGCTCAGCACCATGCACGTCCATACACTGCAACAAAGGACAACTACAGGCGCAGCAGGAAATGCAAGGAACATTTTTGGTAATTGCAACTCAAACCAAAAGCTTGGAAAAAGAATGCCCATTTGTTAAGCTGCAGTGTGTTGAGTTTTCCATCATCACAGACTGCTGTGTTCATTGATCCCTTGTGTGCCCTCTGCATCGAGCACTACTCAGCCTCACTTCAAGGAACCGCTGTGTTTCCACACTACCTAATATACTACATCATACCCATAGTCAATGATTAAATTTAATAAATAATTCAAGTTTTCTAAGACATGTTAAATTGTTAAAGAACACAATTATTTACATATTGACTATTCTAATACCAGTACTACTTAATTACCCGAGAAACAAGCAGGCCTTCACCTTCCATTAGCAGCTACACCCTAGCACCATCCTGTCGGGTTTTGGGGATTTGAGCACGTCTCCCCAGTAGCCTTTGCATGCCCCTCTTTGAATTCAGACACAAGCTTACCACCAGGTTCTTTCTCCATTAGGAGTTACTCTGTTATAAGGCCTTGCTGCGGGACAAACCATCCCGTGCCTTCTCTCCTCTACTCCACCCACCTGTATCACCTAAGCTGCTGCCGTACTGCCAGGCATCCGTGCTCGTGCCGGTTCTTGTCCCCAAGCAGCTTGGCAATTGTTGCCCAACCTCCCGTACCTTTGGCCGTACTTCAGATGACACCATGAGCACTACCAGCAAACCTTCCGGGAGTGATGTCTGCAGGACTTCCTGCCACACCTCTGCCATCCAGCTCCCTGCCTCTGTCTCCTATCACAAATAATGAGTAGTTACGGGAGGGCGCTGGGAGGAGACAAGGCCTCTGGGACGCGTGATGCTCACGGGCCATCGATCCCACCTCAGTGCTCCGCGGGTCACTTTGTTCCACCACCACGCACCGCCTTGGTAGCACCTGACCCAACATCTCCTTCCAATAGCTTCAAAGCTCCGTACTTGCCCTTGCAGTTTTCGGGCTCCCCAGCTCCATACTGCATTTACAGGTCTAGCACCTGCCCCGCAGCTGGAGTGCAGCTCAGCTGGCTTGAGCTGGCCTCAACACACGTGGCACAGAAGCAGGTTGTTGGCAGAACCAACCCTGACTGATGACACACATTTGCTTTCCACCTCCAAGCCTACCAACCAACCCAGGTTTGAAATCTCTTCATACCTTTATCAAGCTGACCCTGAGCCACCAAGATTTGGGTAAATAGTGCATGTCTCTTACTCCTTCCTCTGCTCCCTTATGGTTAAAGGTGGCAAGCTGTTCATATGGCAGGATTCTAGAGGAACTTGGTACAATTCCAAGACCACCAGATATTGCTGGTTTTGTTTCCAGATTACCCCAAGGTCTTGACTTTAATAGTAGTGAAGTGCATAAACTGAAATACTGTTGCATCATTTAACACTGCTCTCCAACTGGTATTATTCGCTTAAGATTGCCCTCCAACAGGTATTATTTCTTCCCCTTTAAAAGCCTTAACGGATAGAGACACAGACAGATCTACAGGGGTACTTAATATGTCCTTAAGGTTTTCAGTGGGAACTAGGTATGCAAATGCTCTTATGCACAGGTCTCGGCACATCAGGAGCCAGCCGTCAGTGTCACTGGCCCCTTCTGCACCCTTCCCAGCTCCATCTGCCTCAGGTTGCTAAAAACATCCAGGACTGTGGCTGAAAGTTATTTCCAAACAGAGGAGGGTGTGTGTGCGGGGTGTCTGCCTAAAAACTGAGGCTGATGAAAGCAGATCTAAGTGCAAGGAGACTGAATTATACTTATTTACACTTTTTGACTGAAAGCTCTGCAAGTCATGCACATTTTGACTTCTCAAACCTCGTATGCGCTTTCTTCTGTGCAAGAGTAAGCCTCCTGTTAGAAAAAAGCATTCTGTGCTGTACTGCAAGCCGGAGCAAGGCATTCATCTCCACCGATCCCTTTCAGGGCTTGCTCTGCTGTCACTTGGCAGCAGTAAGGTGGTTGCTCTGTCACTGTATTCTCTGAAGCAGTCAATGCAATGGCCTCTCAGAACTGGTGGACATTGTTCCAAAGACTCGGTTTGCTTCATTTTGGCATTTCCACAGTCATCCTTTACATATAATTCACTTTTTTTTTTTTAACTTAAAATTATTATTTTGTATTTTGCTGGTCACTTCCATATTGCTTCATTCAAAATCCAGAAAACAGTTCAAATAAAATCGGAGCTTAAGTGCAAACTAACTTTCCAGTGAACTGCTATGTGCGTTTTCTCCAGTCCAGTGTCTTTCTTCCAGTTTGAAGGACCCTTCCCACCGCCACCCCACAGAACACCAGCAGGCTTCGTGACCCACACCAAACTCTCCAGTTCTCCATCTGGTCCTCAGTGTTGCCTGACAGCATCCCCTACTCCCGTCATGATCGTGAAGAAGAAAAAGAGGGAAGAATTTGTTTGGGTCTGTTTACGTACCTATGTTCAGCAGGTATAAACAGGAAAACAAAACTTTTTACATACAAATCTTGATTTCTTGGCCTGTCTTTTAACTTCAAGAAGAACAGGTTGGAGATGGGGTCTTCTTACTCCTTTCTGAAAGGATTTTTCTCTTTAAAACGTTTGTCCTGTTGGCAGATATACAAAAATGGTCATGTCATGCACCAGTTCTGAGCTGGAGTCCCCGTGGTTACCGAAGTGGCACAAAATCATGGTGTGGCTCAGAATAAGGGTTTAGCCGGCTATTAGAGTCACATCATCATTTCTTGGAAAGCCACGATGAAGATCTGAATGATTATGAAAAGCCAGGTTAGCCATTTCCGGTCGCTGGGATAGAAAGTGTTAGAGAAAGAAACTGGATTCTCAATCTCAATTACTATGCTATCACACATGATATAAAAAATGTCCGTTTTTCCCCCAATGGAAACTGCATTGAAATTTCCAGGAATGCTGTACAGACTCTCATCAGTTCCTCCTGACAGAGACAGCTTCTCTGCGGCTTTCCCTGCAGTGGCTGGGCTGAATCACTGAGAACCAGCTCGACAGCAGGAACACTGCCACTGCCCTTACGGTACCGCCTGGCTTTCTCCGACCGTCTGACCCTCAGATCTGCGGGAAGCGAGAAGCGCCAGGCTGTACACTCCTCCTTTCAGTCTCTTTCCTTCCTTTCAGGTTCCCAACCCAAATCTGCAAATGACTCCAAGACATCCTTTGACTTGGAAATATCAAAAATGAGTGAACTGGCAAGTAGAGGAAGCTCATGGGAGAAAGAAAGGGAGGTAGGGAGGGGAGAAGGGAAAAGGAGGGAGAAAAAGAGTGAGGCAGCTAGAAGGGGTTGCCTTTCCACTTCTGTAAGACCGTGGTTACTACACCACTGTATTTCTGTGTCTGTAGGGTGGCGGGGGCAGCACAGTGCCAGGCTTCAGGGAGAACTCAGAGAGGTATTCAGGATTCTCTGCCACAATGGGCCGGATCCGTCCATTCTGTTTGTAAAAGTATTTTGTGCTGTACTCTTGCAGGTAGTCCGGGTGGTGGAGGGTGCTTCGAGGGGGCAGGCTGTGATTCCAGTAGTCTGGGTTGTCAAAGGCCTTCTTGGCTTTCTCTGGCAAATTGTTCTTCAGGTACTCAGCGTTTTCCAAGGTGTTTGCAAAAGTGTTGAGGTACAATGGCTCATTCACGTACTCATCCTCAGCTTTGGGCTGCCCGTTTGGAGTGTTGTGGTACTCTGGGTTGTCCACAGCTTGGAGATCTCCGTTCTTTCGTCGGGAGACAAATGGGTTCTCTTCCACTGGGTTTAGGTAATCTGAGGAAAGATTAAAAAAAAATCAATAAGCAAAGAGGGAGAGTTGTCCATCCATGTAGCAAGCCACATTTTTATGTAACTGTGAGACTGCACAGGAAGAAGCCTGAGGACTAGCGCATCCTTCCACCCAGCCATCCCTCCAACAACAGATGACATCAGGCACCAACTATGTTGAACACATACTTGCTAGAAGTGAAAAATTTACAACCTAAACAGACAATATGGGTTAAAGTGAAGATCCAGGACCCTGGAAGATGGAGTGACTCATCAAAATGACTTACAAAGCTGGAAACTGAACTACAGCTTGTGCTGAGCCAAAGCCTCATCTGATCCTGGCCTTCCTGTCCAAGTAAGAACTACAGAGCCAAACACGCAGAGACACTTTGTCTTTGTGGCTGACTCTCCATGAAGCCTTGGATATGTCTTCCATCCAGAAAGCTGTACAGAAATCTTAGTTAAGCCTCTCTGCACAAAGAGCATCTCCAAGGGCTAACTTCTAAGACAGCTTCATTTCTAACAGAACAATTTGCCTGATTAAAAACCTTCCATTCCTGAAGGACAAAGGGCCTTGAAGCATTATGAAAAAAATGATTCAGATGGGTCCTGGAAACGGTATAAGAGTGACATCAGCTCCAGAAGAAGAGCTGGAGCAGGTTACATACAGCTCCTTCAAAGCACTTGCTGTGGATTAACACCACAAAAAGCTCTGGAGACAGGTCCACACAGTGCCCTGCCCTGTAAGGAAATGGACCCCTGCCTGCAGCTACTGTGGCCAGAGGGTCAAGGAAACACCTGAGAAAGGACACAGGCGACAGTACTGGTCTGAACTTTTGGGTAGACCTGTGCGGTGTCAAGAGTTGGACTTGATGATCCTTAAGGGTCCCTTCCAACTCAGGATATTCTATGATTCTATGATTCTATGATTCCAAATACAGCGCTGCTGTACTGCATGGAGATGAGAGGGTGGCTGCGGTCTTCACTTCAACTCTGGTTTTATCCGGGAAGGGGCCAGAAACATTAAATGCTAATGTTCAAGGCTCAGCAAGATTATTTTGAACATGTAGCTAAAACTTTGCTGAATCAGTAAGGGGGAACAGGCACATACGGCTTGCCAAGAGTGCAGTAGGAACTCTGAAGCAATGCCAACCATATTGTGCTTTCATCTGAATCTCCCGAATGGCAGAGCGCATGCAGCATCGTGACCACACCGTGACGTCCCTGAGTTTGTGCCCGGTGAGACAGGAAGGAGGTGCTTTCTCCTGGGCTGCCACTACTGCCTCCCTGGGGGCTTGGGCAGCTCCTGTGAAATGTTATGCTCTGTGTACACTGCCACCTGCGTACGCTGATGCTGCAACAAACTCAGGCATCCAGTCCCTTATTGCAAGGCCGACTGCTGAAGTGCAGAGCCATGAGTGCACTCCCACAATTGCTACTGCCCGGGGTCAGTCCCAGAACTCCCTCTATTTCCACCATGTAACACAATGTGGCTTCCAAATTCTGAAGCAGTAGTTACTTGGCATTTACATTTGCATTAATTAATTTCTTTAAAGCTAATGCAAATGTTTGAAAGCAAATTACTAATGACACATCCCCTTACAGCAAAATGACTGCTGTCACTATTTGCAAAGAAAGAAATGAATGAAGGCCAAGTGGGAAATGTAACACTCCGAGCTGGCACAGATTTAGGCAAACTTCACCTTGCAGTGATGGTCTCTCTGAAGCACATCATGTTCTTTCAATCCTAAACTTCCCCTGGGTATAAAATGCCAACTGTGTGTATTGGTTCTGTGATATGTTCAACATGACATTTACCAAGCACAATGCCATGAAGATAAAGAAGATCAATAAACAAAGCAACGTGGAGACTATGGCTGGCCAAAGAAAGATTCTTCTCTTGGAGATAACCAAATATTTGTTCTTGGATAAGAAGTGGGTTTGTTGTTTGTTTTTTGTTTTTAAATTCTTCCTCATTCCTCTCTCATTCCTTCCCAGAAACAAAGTATAAAGGGGGAAATACCAAAGCTAACATTATAGCACAGTTCAGTCTTTCTAAGTTGAAAATTAAGCAAAGAAAAGGGAATCCCCCTGCAAAGAAACATTCACCAGATCAGAACGTTTCAGTCTTGCTGGGTTAGTTGATAAATCCATTTTTTGGTGAGAAGGTCCTGATACAGAAAAAAAGAAAATACAGTCAGGCTAGACTAGGATCTTTTCTTGAAAGACACATTTTTACCTGTTTTAGGTTTGTCTCGCATCGGCGTCATGTACCCATCCTCATCCAGCTCTCCCCGGATGACCCGCTCAGGTATGAAGACTGTGGGATCAGCGCTGTACCTCTGGGTGCTGCTGTCCTCTTTTGCCAGGGTGGCCACTTGTTTTCGCAGCGTGCCGTTACAGCAGCTGTCTTCAAAGATCTCTGCTGTGGCCCCTTGAGCAACTGGGGCTTCTGGGATTATGCAGCCAGGAGCTCTGTATGGCATCGGCACTCCTTGCTCTGCAGCATAGCCGCCATCTCTATACACAAACTGGTTCTGTAGGAAAAGAAAAGACAGCATGAGAAAGGAGGCTCCAAAGGGAGGGAAGATTCAACAGCAAGTCGTGTCTGTGGCTCCCGTGGCCTTCCTGTCACATCTGCCCAATGACGCATTTCACCAGGCAGGAGAAGCCCCATCCATCCTGCAGGCTGCTGCATTTCCAGCGCTGCGGTACCAGCAGCATCACAGGCTCCACTGCAGGCCAGCAAAGCATCTGCCTGCCCAGTGCTGCTGAGCTGGCTTCCCCCCAGGGAGGCACCACCACTGCAGCAAGGGCAGCAGGGAAGTGAGCTGGCTGGAAATGGGGCTAGAAAACTTGTCTCCTACCCAGACGTGGAGGTTGGAGATGAACAGCTGCAAGAGACAAATGCAGTTTCTCCTCTTCTATTATTTTGGCAGCATCCCAGAACAAAAACCTTAAACCTTATGGTAAGGAAATATTCTGCAAAGGGGGCCAGGGATAGAGGACACTGTTGACCTGTTTATTCCCAGGGGGCTACTTTTCGGGTGTCCTGCAGCACCAGTCACCACCCAAACACTATGTAATCCCATCAGGCAGGGCATTTCGGGTTGGTGAGCTGTGCTCTCACTGGCACCTCGATGCAATGGTTTGACGCCACCTACCATATTGCTTGTCAGCAGGGGTGTGCAAGGAAATTTTGACATCGTGACCTATAAATAAGAAGGAAAAACGGACAGATTCATCCACGTGTGTTTCCTACATGCTTTTTCAAGAAATGTTGGCAGTCATTTTGCGTGTGGGTCCATAGAGTTTGTGGATGAATCCAGGCGGAGTTCAGAGACCCCTGACTATTTGATGGCTTACACACCCACACTGCATTCACTGTTGGCTTTTGAGCTGTGTATGTAGGAATAAGGAGCTGGAAACAGACAACAGGTAGTGAAGGAAGGACGAAAACCTAAAGGATGAAGGTTGAATGTGAAATACTTACTCCTGACATAGGGGTGTAGGCAGGAGGAGGGCTGTGTCCAATTTCACTCTAATAAGAGAGAAAAATGGAATGATGGATACATAAAAAGAGATCACATGAATGAAACAAGTCACATGAGCTGTATGAGGTAATGGGGAGAAACATGCACATCAGATTTCCTAACTGAATCCAAAATCCAAAGAATTAAATGATGACAAATGTCTCACTGATGTCAGCAAGATGTGGTAGCCCACCTGCCTCAGGGAGGGCTACCACATTCCCCTTGATGAGTAACAGCAAGTGCCGTGTTATCACCTACTGACAGCCATCCATATATGCTGCAAATATCTCCTGGCTCATTTTGGGAAAAGCAGAAAAAATGACAGATGGACAAGGCAGCAGAAGTGCAGAAAGCACCTAGTTCCAAGCAGTGCTTCCTATCCCAGGGACAAAGCAGGGAGGGCACAGGACTGTCATTAGTCTGTCGCAGCTAGTTTGAGTATTACTGGGAAAATAATCCTGAAGAGCTTTGGGAAGCCCAAATAGCACAACATTCCCTGGACTTCCACTTGCCAATGTCCCATGGTCAGGCTTTCAGCCTTTTAACTTTAGCTCTGTATCACATGCTAACAGATTTTACTGAGAATTATAGAGGCTGCAAATCAATGTCGCCATGCAGAGATCATCATTTTGAGATTGTGTTTTTGGAACCATCTTACAATGCCCTGTGGACCTTGAACTGCTGTAACATCAACAGCAGAGAGGCTGTATTTGTATCTATTAGTGCTGCTCAGAACTGACCTCTTTCTCACCGAGGAAACGCTGATTTTTGGAGGTAAATCAAAACCTTTTATTATCATGTGTTTTGCTACTGACAAAACGCTCATTTTTAGATTACAAGATCTGTTCTTCATAACTACTTTGTTTCTGATTTTGCTTCAAAAACTTCATTGCATTTCCCTTATCTCCTAACTTTGGGAAAGAAAAAGCCAGGATTCAAAAAAAAAAAAAGACCACTGCTTCAGAAAATAAATAAGCACCCTGAGAACACTCCACTTCAGAAAAAAAAAAAGTTTTCAAAACCAATATCCACACAAGAAACATACCCAAGTTAGAATACACATTTCCTCAGTTTGTAAGGATGGGAAATAACACAGTCCACAGTCAAGCTTTCCCTTATAAACTTCTTGCTAGAACATCGGGATGGAGATGATGGTGCCTATTATCTTCCTTTATTTAAAAAGGGTTCTGGTTTAAGCTAAGTATCTGCATCAGGGAAAACCTTTAAAAACAAACTTTTTTTTTTTAAATGCTTGCTGGCTACCTGCCTGAAGCCCCATTTCCATTGATCAAACATGCTCATTTGCCAGTATCAGAAAAATTCCCACAGCCATTTTGTTACTTGGATCTAGCACCTGATGTCTGAGGCATTAGTGTGGTGGACAAGCCCTCGTTAGGGATACACTATTCTCCATTTTCATGAAAATTCATTGGTGTTTAGCCAAACTATGCCCTTCTAAAAAATGCTGCAAGGTGCAAAATACAAAAGTGCAGGAAAACCTCTGTTAGGTGAATTGCCTGTCTGCCCCTTGTTGTCAAAGCCTGAACAGGACTCTCTCCATACATGTTTTGTCCCAGGGAAATAAGGTTCTGGAAGGAAGTGATGGAGAGGATCTTGCCTGCAGTCTCAGAGAACCCCTGCCAGTGCCCAGGGAGGAGGAGGAGGAAGAGCTGAGAAGCTCTCAAGGAAAAGTGATGCTGGAAGAGCTGGCACCAGGTAAGTACAGTGATGGTCAGGAACAAGAGAACAGTGGCTTGCAGAAGATCATAAAGCAATGGCCAGAGAGAGACTGGGAGTCTCCTATGATTTCCAAGGTGGCTACAGACCTCTAGAGAGTGCGAAGAGCTGTGGCAATGCTGTGGTAGTATCGAACGCAGGTCAGCAGAGTTTGCTGCTGCCCAAATGATTAGCACGCATCCGCTTTTCACAGACGCTAAACAAGTGAATATAACCACTCCTTTCCCATTTGGTACTACACAAGCTGTCTTAATCACCTTTAGCTTACATCCTTGTTTTCACGGAGGCACCCCCATGAATTTCCACTTGCGGTTCACTGGTTCTGGATGAGTAAGGGAAGGCTGTCTTGAACTACGTTTAGTTCACAGCCCACAGGGATCTCTTAAAGGCAACTTAGAAAAGCAAGTCTTTTGTCAACAGCCTTGACTTTGATACGTAGAGCTATGTGCCTCTGCCAGTAAATATTTAGATGATTAAAAACTTAAAATAAATTCTGTGCTAGGATGGCCACATCATCTATCTGTGGACATTCTTTGCTCCACCCTCATCACAAAAGGCTAAACCCACCGTCCTATCTTTAGATTTTCTTGGGCATGATTATAACATTTAAGTACACACTATGCAAGTGTAACAACATAATAACATGCCCTCTCAGAATAGCCCTGTCCCAAGACATCAGGAGAGAATGGACCAGCATTAACGCACTTAATGCTATTTTTGCTGATAAGACCCTCCCCAGCCAGTGAGCTGCCAACTGAGATCAGGATAATGGTATTTTCTTCATGCCTCCCCTTTAGCTCTGTACTAAACATAGCTGTCTTGCAACAGCTTCTCCTAACACAGAACCTTACAGCTTGGCTCTTCTCAAAACCACTGGTGTCTGCACCCATTTTAATTCTCTACCGTTTTTCCCCATGAGCTAATACCCTGTGGCCACCGTTCCAAAAAGAGGAGGCAAAGAAAACAGCTGCAGTGCCAATTAGTGGGGCTGAAAATGTGATATAATTGTTTAAATGTCTTTAAATTGCTTGCTAATTGCAACGTGATGTCATCATTTTGTAGGCTTCCAAGATAAGTACTGAAAGCCCCAGCCAACTTTTATTGGTCAGTACATGAATCACACTGTGAGCAGAAAATGCATCTGGATCTTAGCAAAAAAAAAAGCTTAAATAGCTTGATTTGTATGTGTGAACCAGTTTACTTTGTTCTTTTTTTTTTATTTTTTGATTCAGTTGCTTTTGCATTTTAAGTGCTATCTTGAAAGAGTAGCCTATGTTCCTTTACTGGGAAGACCTTGGTTTTTGGATCTCTGATGCTGAAATTCTGACCTGAATGATCACTGTCTCTAGCTTGTTGTGATGGACAAGGACTTCAAAAAAAAAAAAAAAAAAAAAAAGGAATCAATAATCACCCTTTTGATAGTGTAATATGCGTTGTATCTGTTAGCTCCAGAGTGCACACATCCACTGATGCTAAAGCTCTATGCAGCTTCCAAAAGGAGCCCAGCATTTTTAACTGCCCATGAGCAGCCCTAACCAGAAATGCCTGAGATTTCTTTCTTTATACTACATGATTCAATTTTCGGCACAAACGTGACATCGGGGAGAAACGATTAAAAACAAGCAAGCGTGCCCTAAAGCCTTTTTAAAGGCCCTTTGGTATTAAACACCAGTGATGTATCAACTACTGTAACAGCTAATGCACGTGTAAAATGAGCCTTGATAGAAGAGAGGTAAATAACACTTGAATATTGGCTTGTGTTATTGCTTTCTATTCATTAATTGCATTTTCCAATTCCTTGCTTCTAAAGTCTCCCAAAAGTAAATACTTCCTCCTTCATAGCAAGGACATAACATTGCTGGCTGCCTATTAAAACGCAATGAAATCAAAGCCACGTTGGGTCCTGCCGCTCATGTGTACGCAGTTGTGTGCCTCTGCCTTGCTTCTTTTCACTCAGGACCAGCGTTGTGCCTGAAGGAGGGCACACAGGGCCGCGCTCCCGCTCCTGCCTGCACCGCAGCTTGCCTGCGCCAGCCTGACAGTGACCATGGCCTCCTCCAAAGCTGCACCCGCCGCACACTTCAGCTGGAGGAAGTGCTGAAGGTCAGTGACAGCGCTGCTGTGGGACTGTGGGTGGCTGGGACTATCACCCAACAGGTGACAACTCTACTCTCCAGCAGGATCTGGCACCCCCACAACTTGCTTGCTAGCATAGCCTCCCAGCAGCACCCTTAGTGCTGCGAGCATGTTTGACCTGAGCCTGCTGAGATTATTATAATTCCTTGTTCTCTAAGCAATCTGCTAAGCTCATGTGGCTGACAAATTTCTCCTTACTCAAGGCAAGGCTTTAGTAAACTGCACACACACACACGCCTGAACCCAGATAGTGCTCCTGGTCACACGAGCACCCAGCTCCCTTTCACTCCATCTGCTCTCGTACACAAAAAGCACCGAACCAGGCAGCAGGAGCAGAACACTCCCCCCACCTTCTCAGTCCCCACACGTACCGTCCAGGGGCATCTTGTGGCGCTCGCTTCAGGCAACTCAGTGACCACCTGTTTTGATTGAGCTCTGCATGCACTTAGAAGTAACTCACTTTCCTCCTTACCTGATTAGAAACCAAGCCAAACCAGGTTTACCTGATTTAAAACCAAGTCAATATCCAGGCGCAAGTCACCACACTGCAGCCTCCTAGCAAGCATAACAGGTCGAGTAGATCTTGCTGCAGCAGTTTGCCCAGAAAGAGGACAGCTGATTTATGCAAGTGGGTCTGAATAATGTACTGGGGATGCTCTGGTGGGGCTGCAGGCAGAGCACACCATGCAGAGCTGTACCACCAGCCCTGAGCAAACTCCAGTTACATTTCAAGGGAGCTGTCTGGTATTTACAACTGATCTGAACTGAAATGCAAATAGGAAAGACCACTGCAGGAGAGCAGTCACCTCTGCTCAGGAACAGTCCTGCTTCCCTCTGCCCTGCCTCTGAGAGCAAACATGTCTGAGATGAAAATCAAAGGAAAAAAAAACCCTGTACCACAAGACTGTTGTGTAATGCTACACAGAAATTAAATGCCGTTTGTATAGTGATGGCTAGAGGGCTTTGCAGAGCTCTGGAGGTTCTGGTCCTAGCCCCTGCTCAGAGCCAAGCTGTATGTAAAATGTAAAGTGCAGCCTGGCTTGACAAATCCAGCACACTGCTCACATTTGCAGAGTCACACACGTTTGTTGCTCCACCAGTACTCACGCTGCTTCCTCAGCTCTGGAGAGAACAG